TACTACTACTACTACTACCTACCTACCTACTACTACTACTACTACTACTACTAACTAACGTAACGTAACGTAACGTAACGTAACGTAACTACGTATACGTATATATATATTATATATATATATATATATATATATATATATATATATATATATATATATACATATATATATATATATATATATATATATATATATATATATATATATATATATATATATTTATACATACATACATACATACATAAATACATACTTACACACATACACACACACACACACACACACACGTATATATATACATACATACACACACACACACACACACACACACACACACACACACACGCACGCACACACACACACACACAAACACGCACACACACACACACACACACACACACACACACACACACACACACATATATATACACACACACATATATATATATATATATATAAGAGAGCTTCCCCGATGTGCTTTAGTAATTAACATGGTGATGAGCAAAATCATGTAGAATTATATTTTCGTACTAACATGAATAGTGCCCTTATATGTATCGATGACTTCTCAAGAGTGCTCTACGGTCACACAGTATGAGCCAAGTGACCAGAGATTCCAGTTTAGCTGCATGTTGAAACCGCTTGCAATCTTAAATCCATTTCCTTTTCTGATTACAGCGACGGTGCCTTTTATGCGAATATGACTTTTGACTACGATGCCATTGGACAGAAGTGGATAAAGGTACGCGTTGCGGCGTCTGTATTTCGGGGCATATTTTAATTTTTGCTTAATTGTGTCGAAAGCAAACACCTTTGGTTGTCTCGGTCTGCTGCCAAATTATATGGCGCTCTATAGGAGAATTGCCAGCGCACTGTGCTTCTAACCATACGGAATTGTTTCCTTCACAATAATAGTCAATTAGTTTCGTAGTAAACAGGTAGGGATAGGGATTAGTGTGACACTTACACTTGGGAGTGCAGAATACTTCTGATAATTTAGTCGTGTTTTATAGGACAATGAGCAAATTAAGCAATCCGACTGTGTCAGAATTAAGGCCAAGAAGCCCAAACCGGACCCGAAGAAATTGGAGATACCCGAGTTGTCCAAGAATCTGGATGTGGGTGAGTGTATTATATGTCTTACTATTTTCGTACCCTCTATTAAGAATAGATACTCCGTCGAATCATTGTCATCAATTACCGATACTGGCTTGTCGAGTATAAATTGTAAACATGGGGTATGCACTGCTCGCGTCGGTCTACGCGTATGCACTCAACGCATTTCGTCTCATGTGTACTTTTCATGTGATTTATGCCTTGGGATTCATTACCGTACCATATAAACTCGTTGCTTGTATATTCTTTGGTAGTGGCTGCAACAAGGCTCGTTATCGAAGGTCTCGGACCATTGTTCCGGGAGACCTTTTTTTGTCAAGTTGTATCCTGAGATACATGTTAAAAGTACTCACATTGTGCACGTAAGTTGCTGACGTATCTTTGTGATAATTTGTACGCCACAGTCACGGATATTGTACTCACTTAGCTCGTGTATATTGCTATTGATTTTATGTGTCTTTTGTACGTACAGGATACACAAGTGCTTTCTGTCATATGGAGCTATACGGTACTCTGGGGAAGCCGAAACCTTTGGTGGCACAGACTTGCGACTACCTGAACCTGTGCGTCTCTGCTGATGGACGGTAATGATGGGCAACGTATCGCGAGTATACTTATATTTGGTCATATTGACTATAAGATTGGCGCTGGTACATACCTATGTACATATATAGCTCCCATTATTCAAATTACTACAATAACTGATTGCCCATAAACGTAGCTTGGCGTTACTCTGAGTATCATTTTTCATTTGTGATCTGATCTCCTTACACCGTGCTTCGTTGAATTAGATTTTACGGAAAGGATCAAGCTATAACCGACTATCCCCCGGTTCGTATACATACCACTGATACAGGAGCCGGATATTGCACCTGGTATGTCGATAAATCGAATGCTGTGTGAAATCGAAGGCTTTATGAGCCTGTCCGAACGGATACGTTCTTTCAGACGCATCTGCTCTTTTGGTAGCGCAGCCTCTTTTGCGTATTATTTCGTTGTCCAGCACTTATTCTCCATAGCAGTCCATGCTTGCAACTGGTGTGAAGGGAAGATCATTTGCTCAGTGTATCTAGATACTTAAATTGTGCAGGTATATACCTCCTTTCAACAAGCGATCAAACTAGGTACACCTGTCTAGTAAGATGGCTGAGTTTGATGCAGGTGCGTGGCTATTGTGAAGTGGTCACTGTATTTGCCTACACTCTTGCGAGATACTGAGTGCAATGAATAGCATTGCCCTGTACTTAAAACCGCCCGGATACAATGGATACTATAGGGAATCTCTTTCTAATGATGACCGACCTATTCAGCCGTCGTTGATTGTCAACGCAAAACGTTCAAATTCAAATCCATCATGTCACGGCATACATAAATACCTGTGACAAATTTAATCGCAAAAGCCGGTTCACTAACAAAGTCCCGACTCACCACACACAACAGGCGCAAAGATAGCGCTGTAAGTACAGAACTCGAGAATAGCGCCGCACAAGTCTCCAATGGACGAGTGGCTCTGTTTGTGTACAATGTGGGTGACAAGATCAACCATCTGGGTATCTTCACAACTGTCATATCCATCTACGATGCCTTGCATAGGGTATGCGAATGTGTGAGAATGAGATAGCCATGTTGTCTGTGATCTTGAGAGTTTTTTTATCTTGTGACAAGCAAAACAGAGTTAAAAACAGATTCCGTGAAACACAATGCTGTCCCGCACTAATGAAAGTCGAGAGAGACGTAAGATTCTTATGCAACTGCAAATATACGGAATCGAGGCACGTTGTGGAAATTGAACTAAAATGGTACACTTCGATACATGAGAACTAAATGTAAGCATCACGTATGCATGTTATGAATACAACAAGCGTAGGTCCAGACTGTGTGGACTCAGATAGAGTCTTGCGCGATGTCCATACTTCTCAAGCAGCTGTTTAAGACTTTGCCAATATGTGTTGTTTCTGTGGAGCAACCATGTATTCAGGCACCCACAATGCCCGCTCCTCACTATGCGTCGACACAGTTTACAACTTGGATTCCATGAGGGGTTGCAATTGGCGACGAAAACAACCTTCGGAATCATACACTCGAATAATTCGCACGCACTAGCTGAAAAAGCACACGACAATCGGGTTTACAACGGGTTGATTGTAACTTGGTCACCTACTTGGTTATCTTTCTAGCACAGCATGGTCTCTGGCCACGCCAACCGCACGATCCGATAATAGACTTGGTATTCTTAAGACGAGATAAGGGCAAAGTCGCCGAGTCTCAGATCAGAGACCTGTTTGACGATGAGATATTCCATATCAATTACATACATAACTGGATTTACGACGGGTATGTACTTGCTTATAATGCGTGGTCATGGATTTCTAAACAACCCTTCTGAAATACCCATTCACTGGACTGTCTAGTCTCTAAGAATAGCGTAGCTGGAGACCATTCAGCACAGCACTTTCAGTCACACTGCAGTTTGATAGTACTGCCTAGGCAACGATAAGCTCACTGTTCATCTCCATCATTGTGACAATTCTATAAGGCCCGTGTGCTTCAGCCGCGCAATTGTGGGTCTGGGTGGACCCTACTTTCCCATCTGGCGCACACACGGCAATAGAACCGTTGCTATTAACAGCCGGAGATATCCCAGTGCACACCATCGTCTGAAACTGATAATACCAATGTAAGTAGAGTGTGACAAACTCCTACTATATTCTGTGGTGACAGAGTTTTCTTCGATGCCTTCTAATCAGTCGTGTTTGTCGAATTGGGGTGTATCATGACACTCCGGGTCCTCCAATCCTTCTGGACGTTCAATATGCATAGGCCTTGACACAGGACGGTTGTTGCGCAACGGCCTTACAGAACTTCTGCCAGTTATGCTCAGGAATATTCGCGACGAGTTTGATCACATATGCATGGCTATTCAAATAAGTTCATAAGATTTAATATCATTGGGATTGATGCCTCCTCGTCTTCTTATACTTTAAAAACGCTAATGTGAAGTATACTTTTTGTAGGCTCAGCGCCGAGATCTCTAGGATGCATGGTCCGCCTATTGTCATAAAGTGTTCAGCGATGTTGATCCACAGGCAGGTAAAGTCTCAACAGCATCGATGTCATTATAGTACGGCCTCACGATCATTGTTTTTTGGGCTCTAATTGAACAGGCAGAAGCTAATTCGACCCAAATGACATGCAGGCAACCATCAGTTGAAGAGACCAAATGTTTTCGAAATAGTACAGAAATCTCACATAACCCCACTCCGTCTACGTCATTTCAACTAATTCATTTTGAATCTGAGATGGTATGGTGTTAAGATTTCGTAGTTTAAAAACATATCTACTCACATGCATATACAAATACATACGTACACAGGATACGAGAAGGATGGTGAACGAGCAGGAGATGCACGATTTCTTGACTGCCCGAGGATATACCGTGACAGTGGTAGGTAACCCACTGACTGCCATCGTCGCCTAGTTGATGGAAGGCCTTGTAGACAATGTCATTTCAAACAGTTTATCAATCAATCCTTGCGTATCATTGAGGGAATTTGCATCCATTTTCAATACAACAGCGTAATTGTGACCATCGCTGTATTAAGATATTTTGTTTTGCTGATACAAGGCTTTCGTTATCATCTCGGTAGCACGACTACACAAACCAGACCATGCTAAATCAAATAATGGCATCAAGAGATACTGAACTTGTGGTGGCAATGCATGGAGCGGGACTGGGTAATGTACTGTTTTCTTCTGAATCTACGCTAATAGAACTGCACCCTTACGCCCACTCCAAGGAGACTTACAGGTACGTAGAAATCTTTGCAATACTCCATGAATACATATATATCTAATATATAGCTATAT